AGAATCTTCAATTATTAATAATGAGGTACAAAGCAATTTGAGGATAATTATATTTATTCAGAGGAGCAGTGAAATTCCATGGGGATGAACAGGAACATTGTAAATAACATTGTATTCTCATTTTATTTTCTCCTTTTTCTGGTCTTTTTCCTGCTGTAATGTGAGAAAACCTAGAACACAAGATAGCTACAAACATGGGGAGCCCATGCTAGCATTCCTTATTTCCTTTTTCTGAAATGCTCCCGTATCTATACACATTTACACATTCTGCCTGCTTTGTTTTGTTGGCGTAATTTTATTTATAGTGTAGCCTGACAAGGCTGTGTCACTAGCATTGTACGTCAATTGGCAGGATGATCTTTTGGATCCTGAAGATGTGCATTGTGCTTAGGTGCATTTCTTTGTGGAAGTCAGTGTTCTAAGAGTTAAATGACTCTGTTTTCACTAATTTCTGATGTATTTATTTTTAAACTGGCAGCATTAAAGTTTCTACTGAGCTGGCTGTTAGTTGCCCTTTAAAAAGTTCTTGAAGGCCGTAGTAGAGACATTGACAGGATGTGGCTACTAACTCTTTACACTATCATGCATGGACATAAGCAGGCCCACCAGTGAGGTTGAGAAAGCAGGTAATTTTTAACGACCAGTAATTTTTAATTCAGTATTTGCTTATCAAGAGGGTCAACTAAAACCAGCTTCTTCTGTTTTGATGTAAATATTCAGAAAATACATCACAGTGTCTGGTGAAAATATTCTGAGATTTTACCAGAGAAGCCCCTTCCTGTTACAATGTAGTTTGGGTCATCTTAAAGGAAGAAGATGAAAGATGCCAAGAGGAATGAAACAGGGAAACTACAGAGAGAAGAAACAAGTCCAAACTGATATGACAAGGAGACCCATGAGAAGAAAGGTTATCTAGGATTACTGTTAAAATTGTTCATAAGAAAAATAACTTTTAACCTCAAAGGAACCTAAATCACAGCTAGTGCAAAAGAATAAGACCTTGGCTTCGGTGGTGGCAGTGGCCAGGTCTGTGGTGTACAGAGTATCCTGTTATTCCCTTAAGGCCTGGGATACTGTACTCCTATGTGCCTTACCATTGAAGCTGTAGTGAGAACCTCACTGTAGAGACAGCTGCTGATCTCCATCAGCTTATGGTTCTGTGTATCTCATCAACCAAATATCCAAATGACCATTTTCTAAAGCACTTAGTTATCCAGGCTGTGGTTTACAAGGAACAAGCAGTATTCATAATGTTTTATGAGACTTTCACCCAGTCCAGCCACACCAACTGACTGGCTGCTGCCTGGATGCATCTGCTGGAATGACTATTGGCTTTAGCCACTTCCCAGCTATAGCTTCGTGGCTCCCTCTTTGCAGGCAAGCAGTAGGAATAGAGGTAGAGTCCTAGAAACCTGGGTAAGGTGTAGAAATGCAGAAACCAGGAAAGTGGTCAGCTGTTCAGTTTGTTAGACTGCCTTGCTAGCCACCATGCTGCTTTGGTTTTAATTTCTTTTATCACTCTGCTGTATCTGCCTTCCAAGCCCAAACTCCCGTGCCATATGTTGCCAATACTGTCCTCCATCTGCATGAACAGCCACAGACAACAGCTGCAGTAGCTGGCCACAGACATCCATCACCCTTATCTATCCTTCAGCTTGTATTTCACACCATCAACCTGTTACGGTTTAATTGACTCTCCCAATCAGCTAGTCAGGTAGGTAGATTGTGTAGGGATCTGGGGAGTTGGGGCTATAGTCATATCATTGCAAAAAGATGAGATAAGGCACATCTTACTCTTATTTCCCTAAACAAAATGGCAGTTCTTCAAAATTTGATTTCTAAAGTCTATGATATTTTGTGCTGAACATACAGTATCAAGCTAAATCCTTTTGCAGATCTGGGTCCTCTATAGGGCTTTCTCCTGAATAGGAATGCCAGGGTTTAACCTATTAATTTCAACAGCATGCTAACAAATAATGACTGAGGAGAGGAGCTCTGTTCTTGTACTTTGGTAATATTTACTGAGTATTGCCAAATCACTGAGTGCTGGACGAAGTCGAGAAAATGTTTCCTTTCAGTGTGAAGCACAAACAGTATAGTCTAAAACACAACAGTCCTCTAGCTCTAAATTCCATTGGCTGTTTCAATTTATTCATAAAAACTCAGCCTTGATCAAGGAATAAACATCTTAGGACTGTTTCTGTACTCATCTTATCTCTCCTTTACCCCAGTGCTTCTAATGGTAGCTACAACAATTTATGAATAGAGGGTTGTCTGTAAAGGTGGTCCTTTGTCTTTTCCTGAAGGCCTGATGAAACATAGCTTCTTTGTACAGAAGCTGATGTAAATGTGTGAGTGGCCATGCGGAGAGGGAAGATGGGTCAAGGTGTGCATCCTTGTGCTTAATTCTCTTGTGTTTCTCTCCCACTGATTTAAAAGTGTTAGACAAAAATAGACGACCCTCATCATCTAAAGGCAGTAGGATTAGGCTCTCAGCACAGTCCTAAGAGCGCAGTTTCCTTTGATGTTTCAGTTGTCCTTTCATATCTCTGTTTTTTTCCTAGAAGGTACAGAGGAAAAGATACCAGAAAAAGGTACAGAAGCTGAAATTTTGACATTAATCTTCTCCTTATGCTCTACTCCTTCCCTACTATGCCAAAAAATTAATCCTGGAAGTACTTCAGCTTTCTGTATGGCATCCATTCCCAATAATTAAGTTTCAATTTGACATCAGAAGTTCTGATCTAACATAATACAAACTTGGCAAGGGTCCCTGGCTGATACCACTTTGCCAAGTAGCTTTACAGTAATCAAATTCCACAACACAAAATAAACAGGCAAATGGCCAAGTTGTAACTTTTTCCCAATGGCCCATCTCGATTCAATAAAATTGTCAGCTTTTTTCTGTAGGAAAACTGAGCCTTGTTGTAAGGTGCTGTTTCCAACAAGGTTCAAATGCAGCATTTTGACTTTTGTTGGAGATGAACATAAAAATGCCTTTGGGGTTGAAGGGCCAACTGCCACTCTGGGGGTAGAGGTGCTGAGGTTGAAGTGCCTAGAAATGAGCACCACAAAATACTAGATCCCCTAACAGTGGAAAAACATGCATTGAGATAGATATATAGGTTGTCAAGGAAAATGGAAAGATTCTATGTGAATTTATTTAGTACTTAGTGCATGTAAAATATGAATGTTTTAAATGTTCTTTGGCAGCAAAGTCAAGGTAATGTAAATGACAAGGTACTGACCTAAGAATTCAAGCTTATTTTAATTATTTGATTTGTTCCTGTAACTTCTCCTGCAAAATTTTGGCAAGTCATTTCTCATTTGTCTCTGCTTTCCAACATGCAAATGGTACTGGTGGCCTCCTTTGTGAGCTGTGTTCAAAAGCACTATCTGCTTCTCCTCTCTTTTTCCATCACTGTCTAATATTCCACTGTTCCTTACCAAGTACTGCTCTGTCATAGAAAGCTATTAAAAATCTGTGAGGAAGTAAGTTATTTTGGGTAATTAGGGTATTTTCCTTAGAAATAAAGCTTTCTTACACTGCAGTGTTCACATGCTGTTCATGTATGTTGTAATCCGTATTTTCTACTGCCATTCAAAATCTTGAGAAACATCTGTGATTCAGGATTGGAGAAGCTTTCTGCTGGCAGGCTTTTTTGCTAGTCTCAAAAACCACATAATACTTGCTTAAAAAAAAATAATAAAAATCTGCTGTTTAAAAAACCCCCCCAAGCTTTAAAAAGCTGGAAATAAGCTGTTATTGAATCCAGGCACTGTTTGTGTTTACATATACTCCTAGTTTCCTCATTATCTTGTCTGATTGGAGAGGCCTATCAAACCTTAGCTCGAACCTCTTGCTTGTCTGATAAAGAAGTCTAACTACTTTGTTTACAATATGCTGCTAATATATACAGTTCATGAAATTTGCTTTGTAGATTTTGAAAGGAACATAGACCCTAGATGCATTAAATTCTATTAGAATTCCATAAAAAAAATACCCACAGTGGAAAAGAAAATACAGTAATATATAGTGTTTAGTCATATAATACCTTTCAGCATATATTTTTTTGGAATGTTCTGAAACCCTGCAACACTGATTAAGGGTTGAAGAGAGTTTACAAACAAATATAGTCTAGGCAAAACCAAGTTTAAATGGATTCTTTTTGTCTAAAGTCTCTTCAACACTTGTAATTCTATATCTACTGCGCTTGGGTTAATTGGATGGTGGCAAGTTGATATTTGTGATCACCTTTCCTGTCAGACAGCAGTGTCCTCTTTTAATGCCATCTTCTTGACAAGTGCTCACTTTTCTGCAAGCTATGGATTGAGGCAGACAGCCCTGATGGCTATTACAGAGTGATACATGCTGTGCCTTCAGCCCACAGACATCTTGCAACTGTACCAATGCTCCTGATAAGGAAGCCCAGTTAAGACACATAGTTTATTCCATGCTACCTGCAAGTATCAGATCATTGATACCATATTTTCTACATGTATTGTGCTTGTTTTACAAGGTTTTGGTAGTGGGGGGCTACAGGGATGGCTTCTGTGAGAAGCTGATAGAAGCTTCCCCCATGTCTGATAGAGCCAATGCCAGCCAGCTCCAAGATAGACCTGCTGCTGGCCAAGGCCAACCCCTTCAGCAGTGGGGGTAGTGCCTCTGGGGTAGCATGTTTAAGAAGGGGGAAAAAAACACCTGTGCAATAGCAGTGGGAGAGAGAAGTAAGAATATGTGAGAGAAGCAGCTCTGCAGACACTGAAGTCAGTGAAGGAGGGAAGGAGGTGCTCCGGGTGCTGGAGCAGAGATTCCCCTGCAGCCCGTGGTGAAGACCACAGTGAGGCAGGCTGTCCCCCTGCAGTCCATGGACGTACATGGTGGAGCAGATCTCCACCTGCAGCCCATGGAGGACCCCATGATGGAGCAGATAGATGTGCCCAAAGGAGTCTGTGACCCTGTGGAGAGCCTGTGATGGAACAAGCTCCTGGCAGGACCCATGGACCCATGGGGAGAGGAGCCCACGTGGAGGTGGTTTGCTCACAGGGCTTGTGACCCCATGGGGGACCCATGCTGGAGCAATCTGTTCCTGAAGGACTGCACCCTGTCGAAGGGACCAATTCTGGAGCAATTCATGAGGAACTGTAGCCCATGGCAAGGACTGTGGTTGGAGAAGTTTGTGGAGAACTGTCTCCCATCGGAGGAACCCCACTCTGGAGCAAGGTAAGAGTGTGAGGGGTCCTCCCTGTGGAGGAAGGAGCAGCAGAGACAGTGTGTGATGAACTGAGTGCAACACCCATTCCCTGTCCTCCTGTGCTGCTGAGGGGAGGAGGTAGAGAAAATCAGGAGTAAAGTTAAGCCCAGGAAGAACAGAGGGGTGGGGAGAAGGTGTTTTAAAATTTGAGTTTCTTTCTCATTTTCCTACACTAATTTGATTGGTAATGAATTAAACTAATTTCCCCTGAGTCGAATCTGGTTTGCCTGCAACAGTAATGTATGAATGATCTCTCCCTGTCCTTATCTCAACCCAAAAGTCTTTCATTATATTTTCTCTCCCCTGTCCAGCTGAGGAAGGGAAGTGATAGAGCGTCTTTGGTAGGCACCTGGTGTCCAGCCAGGGTCACTCACCACAGTGTAACTGCCACAGTAGCTCTGTCAGTTTACGTTGCCGGGAATGTTACCCGGTGAATTAAAACTCCAAAGAAGACATTGAGATTAATGGAGATATTTTCTCCTGGAAGATCTCTACTTTTGAGCAAGTTGCTTGTTCTTGTGCCTTGCTAAAATCTGACTTATTACTGTAGTCATTTTTTTTATTGAGTGGATGTGACATTTTAGCAGCTGGTCACATTTTTGTCTGAACAGTGAGTTACATGGCAGCATTTAGAAACAGAAATGTAAAGGCCTGAATTTAATCAGTCAACTTTGGTAATGCAGGAGGACTGCAGCAGCTTGTGGATGCTTTAAGTGTAAAATGCAGCACACAGTATGCATTGGTTCAGCCCTGTAGGAAAACGGAAGTGAATGTCAGCATTCAGAATGGTTCACTGTTTCTGCCTTAGTCCCATAAACATATCTAAAAGGTATCATTTCACAAAACTTTCCAGGATATACTATTAATATTCTCAAAAGGCATCTTTAGAATGTTTAATCCTAATTATAGTTGGAGTTCACACCATTAGATAGGGCAGGTTTTCATGATGCATTTTGTGAGTTGGGGAAACAAATGAGACATCTGAATAGTATATTTCCTAGTGAACCAGTGGACAGGTATTGCTTTCTTAATTCATTTGCATCCTGTTTCCCTAGGAAATACCCCTTTTCAGCATGCTGCTAATTTCTGTTGCTTTGCTTGCATTACGATATCCCTACATGAGAGGGATTAACAGCCTTATGGCTGGAGCTTCACCAGCTGTGTAATAACAATTGTTTTCGACAAATTGTGTGGCCTAAACACACCTGCATGTATTTCGTGTAACATTTTACCACCCGTTAATTGACTGCCAGTGTACTGGTGCTTTCCTAGGTCATGGGAAGAAAAGATTTAATTGGGCAGAGTCTTAGGCATTGAATAGCACAGAAGCAAGCCTCCCTTTTAAGACTGCTGAACATCACTGATTACTAGGCTTTGCTCAGTGGGTGTCAGATTTAAGTAAGAGCAACTAGATGTGCCACAGTGTTCCCCAGATTTTGAGGAAATGGGCTTAGGATGTCCTTAGTACAAGGCTGGTCACAGTAATGATGATAGTGTAAATCAAGATACTCTGCTTGATACTAATTATTTGTACTGCAACAACATCTGGAGGTCCCACTGGATATCAGGACTCCACTGTGGTAGATAATATACAAATATACTGCTTGATAAGCCTGTGGTTTCAGAGTATAAAAAGACAAAATGAAGAGAGAAACAGAAGTGGCTTATTCAAGGTACAGTGGAGCAGCAGCAAAAGCAGAAAATAAGTCTCATCCATGTACTCTAACTAGGCTAGATTGCCTCTATGAGTGAGTTAAAATTTAAAAGTCCTCAAAATGTGCTGATGGTATTACCTTACATGAAATATGGAAACTTCTGGTGCCAAGTTAATTCCTAGGTGTAATTCTGATGGTATTGTGTATTAATGTTACCTTAAAACCTGCAGTGATACATAAAGCTCTTATCAGGTCCAGGGTATCTGGGCTGAAGAAAACCCAAGCAGGTTCTGTATCTCATACATGCTTTTCTTTGGCTGAATATCTTATCTTGTGTGTGATGTAGTACTTAATGAATCACTTCTGATCCTGGTAGAAGAGTTGTTAGAGGATTGAGTTCTTGTAAAAATTTTTTTTTTCTTGTTTTCATAATAGTTTTGTTTGTAAAAGAAACTTTTATTATTAGACAAGAGGCAAAGATGGAAAGAGGGGAAGATGAAGGAAGAGGGAGACATAAGGTAAAAGTAAAGCAAGAGAACTGCAGTTTCACATCCCATTGGTAACTTAGTATTTTTGTGATATTGCAAGAGTGTTTGGTAAAAAAAATTAAATCCAGAACAGGAAGGAATAAGACATACTTTAGTACATGTTGCAGTATGAGCCATTAAAAGGTATTATCTAATAGTCTGTGTCCCACATAAAGTCAACTGGCAAAAAATGAGGGGCAGTTTGGAAAGTTTGGTGAGCTCATAACAAGGATATTGCTATACATTTTACTTGAGCTAAATAATGTGGTGTGTTCCAAAACAAAGAGTAGAGGCCATCTTTCAATATAAGGGACATTCCCAGAGAGCACTCCTGAATAAGACTGTTAGTCATGGTGAATAAGCCTTAAATGTGAGGCCCCGCGGTAAGATTGCGGCCAAAAAATATTATGTAGCCTTTGAACATAAAAGCCAAAGTGGTTGTGCAATTTCTGTAAACAAAAGTTAAAATTTTCTGGTGTCTTCATTTGAAGAAAAGTATTGGTAAACTGAAGGAGTTTTGGATCCATAGGGAAGATTAAACAAAAGATTAAAAAGCCTGCTTTCAAGTGAGAAACTCAGAGAGCTGAGTCTTTTTCTCTTATGCAGTATAAAGCTGGGGGAAGAGTCTGCAGTCACAGAAGGAGGAAGCTGCAACCGTGAGTCATCTGCTCTAGCATTTTCTTGCTCTGAGGCAGGACTAAATACAGCAGCTTGGCTGTGACAGATGTTTAGCTAAACTACTCTTTCTAAACCTTCAATGAAAAAGATTTGATTCTCATTAATCTTTGCCAGCTTCAGTGTTTCGCCACTTTATAAATGAATCAGAAACGGTAAGAACCTTCAAGAAAACTTTTACTCGATCACCGTCTTACAGGTTATTTATAGAACTATGGTGCTAGATGGTTCTTCAGCATAGGAAGTAAAAGTTAAAAGAAATGGTAGTGATCTGCTTTTAGGGAACTGCTGAGCAGGAGGTTATATGCACATTGTTGTATTCAATGGCTCTTGATTGACTTTCCTCCCATGAATTTGTCTATTTTTGAATGTATCTTAAACATCTGAAACATCCTGTGACAGTGAGTTGCACAATTCATTTATGTACTCTCTCAAAAGGTACTTTCCTTGCTTAAACTTTATTACCAAATGATTATTATATATTTGTAGTTCTTTAAGTTGTAAAAAAATAGTGCTAATATTGCTATTTTTTATGATGGTTTATATATACAATTTCAGGTGTAGTACTTTTTGAACCTTTTATATCTCTTCTTTTTGAGACAGCCACACACAGATCTGTGTACTATGTTTAAGAATTAAAGTCAAAGGTGCACCATTAACTTACAACAGAGATTTTCCTTTTGTACAGTGTTCCTTTTCATTATAATTCTTGACATTCCATTTGCCTTTTTGACCATGTTCAACAGTGAGCCAATCTCATCAAAGAAGCAACTGCAATGACTCCAAGGCTTCTTTCCTCAGCTATAGATGTTCAAATCACAAATAAGTGTTTTTTTTCTAAAATATATCCTATAGTTCAACAGAATCAATTTGAACAAGGATATATGCCCTTACATAAAATTTTAGAGACTAGATAATAACAATTGTCCTTTTTAGCCTTATAAATAATGTATCTGTAAGAATTGCTTCTTTTAAAAACCATAACCCTAAGGGCTAATAATATCTATTTATTTTATCCTCTGTGCGTATTGTTCTCTCTGACAAATAGGTTTGTAACTTGCATTTAGTAGATCTGGTTCAGCACCTTAAAGAATCATTAACAAGCTCTATATAACAAAAAACCTTCATACTGCTTCTTATAATAGCCCTCAAAAATCAGCCAAAATTAGCTGGTCTGTGTACTTCCTTTCACCTTAAAAATGTTGGGTTTTTTTTTTTTTCTTGTGTCAAGAAACAAGTAAAGTGTTGTAACAGTAAAGAAACACTGTAAAGTGTTGGAACACTGATTAAAGCTTCCAAGTCAAGTGAGCTTCAGTGCCTGTCATTTCCTTAACAATATTTGCTGCTTTTTTGATTATTATATTTGCCAGGGTGGCTGTACTAGTTCTTGAGCATGCCTTCACTGCCACCATTATTTGGAGAAAGAGAAACTTCATCCAGTAAGCCATCCCTTTAACAAAATATAGAGTTTTGTATGCGTTGAATTCTGATTTCAGACTTAGCTTGCAGTGGTATTAAAAATGGCATTAAATATGACCAGACAGAGAGGAGTAGAAGTGTCTGCATAATTCTCTGTGCTGAATACAGGTTCTAATATTTCCATTTCTTAAATCCATTTATATACGTATATTGGAAAGATCTGACCAGCCATGCATTAGGTTCTAGTTGCAGCTTAGTCCTTTAAGCACAATGCTGGATTTTATTACCTTTCTAATCAGTAAAGAACTTCCTGATTTACTGTTTACAGTGAAAGTTCACATAAAGTGATTTGGTGTTTTGATAATTAGAGAATGTCCTCTGTGGAATATATATCTTACATCTTCAGTTATCCTGGATACCTCACTACATTTACCACTGTTGTGCAAAGTCCCCCTACCCACAGAAAGTGAGCAATCTAACAGCTGGACTAACATCCAGAATAAAATTTGAGGCAAAGCAAAAATACAAAAAAACCCCAGACAATCAAACAAACAAACAAAACCCCAAAGGAGATCAAGCAAAAGAGACATAAAGAATAAAATGGAAAAAAAATTACAGAGGGATTTTTTAAAACATAGATTGCAAATCTGAGAAGCCTAAGTAGAGGAAAGCCATTCCAGGAAGAGCAGTGCTTGGGGTTATAAAGAAACGCAGCATTTTTCCTGAATTTAGAGGGTACCTACCAGAGTTGAAGTTTATGTGTGTGGCACTTGGAGGGAAGTGGGGGGGAGAGGGGAGAGAGAAAAAAATCGATGTAGTTTATGAAACCTTCCCACAGTGCGAAATGGGTTGTTGTATTACTGAAAAGCTTGTATCTTTTTCAAATGAGAGCAGCAAAATCGGCAGTCATGTCCAGGAAGCAGTAACTAGGAGTATTGTCTGCCAGGTAATGTCTAGTCATGTTGGAACCAGCCAGGGTAGGAGGAGAAGGCAGTCTGCACAATAGTGACTATTAAAAAATTATGAAATAAAATGAGTGCAAGAAAACATAGTTATCCTGGGATTCTAGTTGGATTTCCATTATATTTTACAAATGCCTTTTCTTTTTTTCTTTCTACATTTAGTTTCAGAAGAAGAAACAAAGATACTGGGATAAACTCTGCTTCCACTTGCATCAGTAGGAATTGAGTTTCTTCAACAGAATTGATATCGAGTCACACTGATGCAGCTGAGAGTAGGATTTGTCCTATTGGCCAGCGTTCTCTCTCTTGGTTTCTTAAATGAAATGCTTTCTGCACATAGGGAACAGCTATATACTTTCAGTGTGGATTATTTGAATTTTGAATTGAGAAAAAGAAGACCCAAAGGTAAACCCCTCTTGGGAGCAAACGGTATATGTGGCTGTTTGCACATGTGTCCTCTCTAACAGATTCCAACCCTGAGCATTCTATGATTCTGTGATTCAAATAACTCATTTTACAGAATCACTGCCATTCTCATTTGACTTTCTTTGCACATGGTCTGCTAGGTGCAAAGACAGATGCCTTCAAGATGTAAAGGCACAGCATGGAGGAAACAAAGGCCTGACAATCTGCACGCAGACAGGCTCTAGTTCTCCTTGGGTAGAGCGAAACCAAAGAAAAAACATACCTGCAAAAACGTCACACCTCAGAAATGTTCCCAAGGTCCCTTCAGATGAAAGGAATGGGTTTTGGAGGAGTTGAAAGTAAAAGCTGAGAAAACATTAGGACCTGCTCCTCTTGGATTGTAGTTGCTCTCAGGGCTGAAAGGGATGGGATTGTCAGAATATCATAAATGTTTAAGTGAAATATATCTGAATTTACAGGGCTTGAGAGGTTGGAAAGATAGTTGACTATCACCCTTCTGTCAGAGGTGAAGAATCTGTTTCACAGAAAGCTAAGAGAAAAAGTTGCCTGAAGTGAAATAGTGTTAGTTGCAGATCTCCTGATCCAGGCTCTAGATTAGCCCCTATATAATAAATAATGTTCAAAATGTTTTGGTAGCAGTGCATATAGCAACAAACTGTTGCCAGGATTCTGTGGAAGGACGTGATGTAGAATAAGAGGGGTCAAGGTGAGGCCTTGTACGTTCTTTTTAGTACTTTGCTATTTTGTTCATACAGTTTATCTACAACCATTCCATTATATGATCATAATTATTTGTTTGAAGTCTTAGAGACATCATGGCAGAAGTTTATCTCCAGGACTGTAAGTGAAGAAATAGTAATGTGGCTTTTGAGAGTAGCAATTTTATGGGACAAATTAGCAGAAAATAAATTCTTGATGAACTTCAAAAATCCTTTTTGGCACAGTAGCCTTAAATAAAGAAGGGGGGAAGTAAAATACAGATTGAATGCTGAGTTCACTTCATTATTTATAAATAAAATGGATCTCAGTTTTCCAAGATGTAGTGCCAGCACTTGATGTCACTTGAAGGCTTCAAAAGCATTAATTAATGGTCACCTTTTTGTGCAAAGTGTTTGGGCAGCCCAGTGGAATAATGATGCAGTATGTTAAATGCTGCATCATGCATGCTGTCTGTTAAAATTCTCTTGAGCCCTTTTGGAACACTTATGTTGCATACTGTCTGTGGCTCTGTAAATGCAACTTTTCCATTGTTGTACGGTTAGGATTTCTTTTCCTCTAACTACAAAATAAACGTTACAGATAGTGGCTCAGAGGTAAATCTTTCTTTTTCACATTCTCAGTGGTCTTGTTAATACTTGTGTTTGGTAACAGGGAAAGCAAATCTACTAGCTGACTGAATGGGGAAAGGAATAAAAGGTCACATCCATCATGAAGTGCTAAAGTTTAACAGTAAAGCTTGTCTTTCAGATTTAGGCTGGTAGGTCTTGGCAAAAGCTGCTTTTAATGAGGTGGTGTAGTATGGGAAGCTGGAACTGTAGAGATTTTTAAAATCCTGGATTTGCCCCGTGTCCATGGTCGCTGTTCTTTGCTGTAGGATTTTCTTTATGTTTTGCTTTACCTTTTTTTTCTGCCGAGAATGCACATACTAATTGTTGCTGGTTTTCATAGTGTCTGGTGCCCTGGAGATACAGATTTCATGAATAAACTGTATCTGCATCTGCAGTTTGGTTTCAATAGGTGTACTGTGTTGTATTGTGTTTTATCCTTGTGATTGGAACAAAACCATTTTCATTACAAGCTCCTACTCAGTCCAGAAAAAAGTATCAACATCTGGCATAAAGTCGTACTTTTGCAAAACTTGTGTTGAGGCATCACAGGGAGCTGTGCCCAAGGTGGGACTGAAGAGAGCTAGAGCATTTCTCAGTTGCAACAAAGTGTTATGCTGCTTTTAGAAGGGCTGTGGTCACTTACCCCATGTTCTGGTGAAAAAAGATTGTTGATATCTTGAAGGGAAGTCCATTCAAAGCACAGCAGTGTGAATATACCTGTGTGTTGCTATTCAGCATACATTTAGCAGTCTAAAATCTACCATTATAATGGGAGGAAAAACAGGCGCTTACTGTTACTGTGCTAAACATCAAGTAGTTGAAGCACAGTCCAAATATTTAAATTACCTGTTCAGTTACAGGACCGTTTTCCTTTCCTAGTATAAGTATTGTAGTCTGAGGACTAGGGGTGGGGGTGTTAGCAAAAAAGTCCAAAAAAAGAAGAGTATTTAGGATATAAGGAACTTGTGATAAGTATTTTGGTATGAGTAAACTTTGAAATGTAAAGTAAAGCAGGAATACTCTCTAAGAAATTGTTAAGACCTAGGGGTTTTAAACAAAAGGTCTGTTGATACCAGAAGAGAGGAATAAATCCAGGAGAGGAAACTGAGGTGGCCTCTAAGTACAGGAGGAGAGGTTTCTTTCTTTGTTAAAATTTGCTAACAATAATATAGTGAAGTCAGTCAGGGTAACAGTCTTGAAGGATGCAGTTATCTTCTCACCAAGAAGATATATAAGGTAATAACAGATATGTAAGGCAATAACAGTAAAAAAATTGTCTCTTACCCCCTTAATATACCTTAGTTTTGTTTTGAAGAGGCTATGTTTGGGTACAAGACCACTTGCACTTGTTTCTTCCTTGATTTTTCTATTGAGACAGTTACTGAAGTTGCTGCTAATTTTATAGTGTGGATGGCTAGCAAGCATAAGGCTTGCTATATGATACATTTTAGTTATGCATGTCTGCACCAGATTTGAATCCCTGCATTCCTTTTAATTGTGTATTGTACAGTGACAGGAATTTCTGGCATTGTTTAAGTTAGTAGTATTAAACGTTTTGGGAAAACAATATGGAGGACTACTTTATTGTATAAGGCATTGCTTGAGGTGTGATGCAGAAAAGTAAAAGATGGTGGCCACTACTGTCTTTTGAGAATATGGGAGGTTTTTCATTTGGTTTAAGAGCAATTAGCTTCTCTCAGGTGGTCATTGACTAATTACATTTTTACTTCCTTCTAAATCCATTCATCTTGCAACTGCACTCTTCCTGCTAGATCCCACAGTTATTTGTTTAGGGTTGGGGCCTGCTTATTTCCCAAGCAGAATAACAGAATGAAAGTTGTTGGGATACAGTCTGCCAGTAGCTGCATTTCAGATGACAATTGAACAAGTGACTGCTAATAATCAGTAGGCATGTTATTCAAATAAATATTTATCCCCATCTCCTGTTTTTTATGGCCTGATCTATAACCTGTCTTCTGTGATGTTTTATGGGAACAAATGAGTCAGCACATTCAGGTGAATGCTGTAAAGAAGAGTGCAGAAGGCAACATATTGAAGCAGAGCCAATGAAATGTGTCCTGACAAAGGTCAAAATGATGCTTCTGTGTATTCTTCAGTGCCATCTACCGGTACAATTACCCATTAGGTATTTGTAGGGCAAGAACATTCTCCTAATAGGCTGCAATTTGCAAGCATTAATTTCTTATTTCTTTTTTATTTCAGGAGCAAGGCAAGATTGGTGTAGTCTTCAATATTGGCACAGTGGACATCTCTATTAAAGAGGAAAGCACACCTGTAAACGATGGCAAATACCATGTAGTACGCTTTACCAGGAATGGTGGCAATGCCACACTTCAGGTTGACAGCTGGCCAGTAAATGAACACTACCCAACAGGTATATACTTTTTTCTTATTTTTCTCTTTCAGTGTATCTATATCTATAAACTAATGTTTAGTAACAACCGATGGCCATATAAATCTTTCTTGCTTCATTTCAACAATAAATTGACCAGCCTGGTGATGCATATACTGTCTGTTAGAAAACAAAGTTGTGGTCCTTTACATTGGAAGAATAAGCATGCCAATTGTGTGGTATGATGCACATAGATCCTGCTATCACAGAGGGCTCTAAGTGAATCCTGGTTCTGCAGAGATTTACAAACTGATCCAATAAACTTGGTTTTGCTACTTGTGATATTTTCTAACAATTTAAGGGAGAAAAGTTTTGAACAGACCTTGTGAAAAGGAGACGTGACTCTAGCCACACCCAAGATACTATCCATGTCTGTATGTAGACACAGAGTTGCGGTGTAAGGGATATGGAAGATTAAGTTGCAAGTATTTGAACAGGCATTATGCTTTCCTCATAATTTTGCATCATCTGAATTTCACTCTCTATGTTGACAGATATAAAGGCTGACATATAATCTAGCGAAAACTGTCAAAATTTAGTCGACTTTAGATCAAATTGCAGTGGAGCAATTCAGTATCTCTTTGGAAATAATCACCCTAAGTCCACCAGGAATAGTGAATAAGTGGCTTTTGAGTCACTGTCCCATGTTTTATCCCACCACTGGCAACTCACAACTTTTTGATACTGTATGTCACCATGCTAAAAGGTCAAACTCACTCCAAGGGAAAAACAGATTGCTGTATGTGATGCTGACAGTGCACAAGATAACGGGCTTCGTGGTATACCTGATTACAAAAGGCAGGAGGACCACAAGGAAAGAACTGCAGTGTTAACCACATTCTTCTTATTCACATGTTGTTGTCTAAGATCAATCCATGATCTTCTTGCTGGTTTCCAGGATTAAGTCTAAGCAATTTCCAGTTCTTCCTTTCTAGGTTGCACATAAAATGACTTGGTACAGAAGGAAGAATTCTGTGATAAACATGAGCCAATTTGCTATCTGTGTAGGAGTTACCCACAAGCACAACCCAAAGTTATAAGAAATATCCTAATTGTTTATACCATGTTACAATAATAAATTACTCCAAGGGGACAATTCATCTCTTCTGCTCACTCAGAAAGTGCACAAGAAAGTTTTTAATGTGAGTGGTTTACGCTGTGGTGTTCTCTACCACATGTTCAACATGACACTTTGTCAGTGTTTTGGTGATGTACATGGCAAAGAGTACATTTTAATAATTACCCTTATTTCTGTGAAATAATTGCTTTCAAGGAACGCCATGAAAGACATGCTGAGTTAGATTCTAGCTATGCTATCCATTGTTTAGAGAGGGAAGTATAGCTAGGAGAGGCTCAAACTGAGCATCTTTCTGTTTTTTCATCAATTATTTTGTGGTAAAATACTTCTGATCCAGTTGGCAGCCAATTACAGTCAGTAAACCCCCCATGAATAAATTTTCTTATTGTATTACTTGCTGTAGTAAGCCCTTGGTGTAAACAAACAAAATATTCAGCACATTTCTTTAGAGATTTTATTTTTTTTTAATGGAAAATAAATCAAACTCACACTACCTCAATACCCTCTGCTTCTGTCTTGACTAAAGATGTTCCTGTGCTTTCATTAGAGATGTATGAGTTTATAGAATCAGCATTAGTCTTTTGGTCTGGGCTGGTGTTGAATATATGCAGTTGTACCCCCAGGGAAAAGGGCACCTTTATATTCCAGACACCTTTTCCTTTCTGTTCATGTATTTAAATTTCTGGCTGTTTGCAGATGATGAAATTTTCAGACTGTCCCCATGAAAATAAGGTTTGTGGGGTCATACTTTATGTATGTGCATGTGTCTCCCTTATTTTTCCAGATTCTTTCAAACTGATTTTTTAGCCAAATTTAAAAAGGAGAGAAAGTTGAAAAAAAAAACCAACAAAGATCCTATATGGCTGGGGAAAATAACCAAAGGGGAAGAGGGAAGTACTCCAGCCCTCCCAGAGGAAAGGACTGTGGCTTGATCTCAGTTTCTGTTAAATGCCAGAATATCCATAAAATGAACAGGCATTATGAATGCCTCAGATTCAAGAAAAGCTTCTATGAGCCAATAACTACAGGAAACCAATCCTTATTAGTTTCATTTTCTGGGCAATTAACATCTTAAAAGAAGAACAAACAGGAGCTTTTGAAATTAATAATTTGTTGTCTTTCACAGACCAAAATTGCACTAGTGTTCCCCAAGACCAAACGGGTGTTCACCAGAGCTCTCTAGAAAGCTTTGTGTTTGGGTTGGCCCATGCTAATCCAGCATTTCAGCTGAAGGCTGCTGAAACTGCAGTTCCTATCAAACTTATGTAATAGTAGCTAAGGAATCAGATAATTTATGGATATATACTTTAATTCTGGAAACACAGTTATTTTTAGTTTAAAAAAACCCATATTTGTTGCACATGCATATTTGGGTAATCCTGTGTTGTCTATAATAGGAACAATTTCACCAGTTCTTGATTTTTCTTCACAGTGCTACAGCCTAATGTTTGCAAATTTTATAAACTAGCTAAATTATCTTCCACATCATCACACAGAGTGCAATCTTCAGACACCAGGGCTGCATTCTGCATGGCATTTCCATGCTCCTCTCTGAATTTTATTACCTGTAGAAGGATTATACATTAGACTCATAATTACTTGCTCAATGGAAAGTACAAATAAAAGTGGGATATCCATTAAATGAGAAAAGAGAGAGAATATTGGCTTTCATTAAAACACAGTCCTCAGTTAAACTGAAATTAAATGAAACTAGCCCAATGGGACTGAAAGACTCTGAAGCTGTATTTTTGCAACTTCAAATAAAAGGCAAGGAAGTGGAAGGAAACTGGAAAAGCAACAAACTTTCAATTCAGGCACTGACATTTTGGTTTTTTATAGCATCCAATTGCATCTCAGTCACCTGCAACATGAGCCTTATGCTTTCTTCCGAGGAAAAGGGTTAAAGAGAAATGGCAAAGGAGGGAATTAACTTGGAGCTAAGGTTGGCTAAACTTTGAGACAAATAATTCCAATCATTAGGAATGATCTCTCACCATTTGTATTATTCAAACCCTGCCAGTAAGGCTTTTAACAGTGGCCCAGTACAGGTATCTGAGACAAAGCTCCTGAGAAGTGCGTGATGGCAAATAGCAGCATTAGCACTAGGGCTGTTAGCTGCAATTCAGTTGTCGGTCTAGTTCAGCCAAAACCATTGAGTCATTAATGATTTATTTGCATTAGTTTTGCCCTTTTTCCTCTCTCTCAAGTACACAGTAAGGAGATGGGCTTTTCCATAGGCTGTACTGATCCTTGATGCTTGGCTCATGAAGTTGGTCACCAGATTGAGAAATACACCAGTGTGTTTCTGTCAGGGGATCCACCTTTTGCTATGCCCTAAAGTACAGTTTTCCATGACTACTTCCCATATGTTGTCTCATGTGCTTTCACCCTTTGGTGTAGCTATGAGATAACAGGTTGTGCTTCGTTGCTGTTATTTTCTTGCTTTCATGTTCCCTCTGACACCCTTCTATATATCTAAATAGTATATCTATATAGTAGGAGGACCTACTACGTCATTTTGTTAGGATCATTTTGGACCAATAGCTCAATAAGAGGAAACATGTGATGTGCTTTTGTTTCAGATTACAGTAAACCCCATCAAATTTGAGGCACTTTACAGTGTGGTGTAGTCAGCAATTCTCAGGAGAGTTAAAAATAAATCTCTGGTTTGATACAGAACTGGAATACTTCAGTCCCTAAGTTTTTATTAATTCTTAGGCAGGAGATTTTTTTTTTTTCACTGTCCACTGTCTTTCTTGCAAAGAAATACTTCATTTATTGCAGATTATTTGTACATCGAAACAAGCTTGATATACCTGCTCATTCATCCATGCACTTGACTACATTTCTGCAGTAGAAAAAGAAACAAAACTAGGTGAAGAGAAGCTGTAAAGCAAGAGTATCAGTGACATCAAACTAAAGTCTAATTGCAGGAATGTTTTAAAGGAGAAGATTAAAGGAAAGGAAGCAAAAGGCAGGAGGAGGTTATCATTTAAAGATATACATCATTTAGCAAGAAAACTGTAGTCTGGATTTTATGACTGCATTTAAAAAGTAAGAAATAGGACAACATTAAAAAATCCTTATCAGGATTCATTAGTTCATCCACCCAATACAGATTTTATATTTCCCCCCTTTATCATTCTCTTGAGTGATCTCTCAGCCTTCTTGTAGGAGTCTCTGCCCTTTCAAACAGCATTAATTTGCAGTTCTATTGGTACTGAATGAAAGGAAATTCATTCTCTCTCTCAACTCCGTGTCTGAGAGGAAGTTGAATTTTAGGGAAAGCTGGACCGTTAACTCTTGACAGCAGAACCCCAGGGACTCTTTAACTGCTATGGCAAGTACTGTGGCCTGATAATTGCATACCTATAAAATAAAAAATTGGTTCTTAGACCCTGATATATGTATTGGTGTTTTCATTCAGGATAGTTTCAGTCCCAAGGACTGAATGCTCCTGAACTGTTGGGGCATATCTTCTTGTTTAATTTCATTTGAAAGGAGTCTGGTTTGTATTCCCCGAGAGCATTTTAGTGTGTGAACCAAGGTGTAGCAAGTGGAGAGAATTGGGGGGTACATATTGGAGGTAGAGTCCTGATTCGAGCCAAAATGCTGATGTAAATGGATCTTACTGTAGTATACAGCTGGAGCTGGACAGAGGAACTCATTCTTTCATAACTCCTTCCCATACTCATGTTGCTTAAATAGCCAAATTTTCTTTTCTACTCCCTCTCACATTCTGCTCAGTGGGATCACTATCAATGCCATTCATGTGTAACGGCCCATGAAAACTGAATGCACAGGAGTGGAAACAATCAGTCAGGAGACAGGGGAAGATGACTTCCTTTATCATCAAGGGTGGTTTATGCCTGTTTAAAGTCTTCGCTGATCTGTATCTTTAGTA